CCCCAAAACCCCAAAACCCCAAAACCCCTAATTATCAAAAGTGGTTGACAATATCTTAAATCAACTTGTTAATAAAATGGACTTATGGGTATTATCAAGCAGCTATTAAACTCTTGATATAAACTTGTGAGCATTGAAGCTACCCTTATTGGTGAAGTAGTCCATAATCATGTCTTGCAGAGTGGAGCTGTCTTAGTTGAAGTTAGTCTTCCCTCTCATTCTGTTGAGTTCGATTGAATACAAATCATGCGTAACAGCAGCTTCCTTCTCAAATTTAAAAGTTCCAATGTACTTCTTCTTGCTGCGAACGTTGGTGAGGGCCTGCCAGTGCTTCCCATTGCTGGGTAATCCGATGTAGCCAGAAGTACGCTGATCAATTTGATAAGAATAAGGAAGCCGAGAATATTCCAAAGGGCAACTACACACTAATAATGCTTTATAGCAGAGATAATAAAGAATACCAAAGAGATGCTGAGCAGCCCAGTCACTATAAAGGTGGATCTCACTACGATGACTACAAGAAAGGTATTTATTACAAAGCTTCTTCTCAGTAGCCAGTTCCAGGCCACCATCCCAGTGCTGATCCGAGGATAGATCCTTACCCTGACAGAGATGTTGATGATATTAAGAAGGAGTATGCCTTTAAAGAGCCTATCAGACAAGACACTAAGCACCTGTGCGCTAGCTATAAGAAGCAGGTTTGCCAAATATATTTTACCTCTCTAGGCTAAAGTTGAAATTAGTGAAAAAGAAGAAAACAAGGCATGCCTCAAGGAAGACCAAAGGTCGACTCCTAAAAAGGAAAGCAACTCCAGAAGGATCTTCTAAAAATTCAGCGAAAATAAAGTAAAAGACTAAGGCTGAGAAGGAGAAAGTGCTCGGGACTAAACAGGATTAACAATTAAGCAATGAGAGATTTTCAAAGAATTCTGTTCTGCATTATTTAATTAATAGAGCTTAATTAGCCAAACAAAAAGATGCCATTAAATGCATAGAGTGAGATTTAGTATGAAAACTACTCCAGATACCTCTCTATAGTCATGACTACATGTCTACAGCCTTGATAAGAGATTTGGCTGTAACTATAGCGAATATCTGTGTAAAATTATAACCCTTAACTAATCAAGTAGGCTCAGATAATGGTGGCTGCTCCACTTTTTATAATACTAAAGACGTATGAATCTGTATCTCCTAAAGATTTCGGTTGAAGAATGATTTGATATCCTAGTTAGAATTTGTTATTATGAGAAAAATCCATTTTACGGTACTGGTTCTCCATCATACTATCATGCCCTCTTGGAGGTCCCATGTTAAGCCTGTTAATTCCTCCACCCATTTCAGTACTAGTTTGAAAATTAAACGAAGAGAATCTGGAGGGGGTCATCTCTGTTTGCCTAGGAAAGAAAGGGACGAAAGAAGGCTCTTCGATCTTATTTTCGATGCCTTTGGCATCTTCTTCTGAAATATCGCTATGATAGTGGAAGTTATCATTGATCGTTCTGCTTTCAAAAAGTTGGAAGCCCTGATCCCTATCTCTCCTGAAACTAGGCTGGGGCTTTGTCATATCAGACATAAAAAGCTGGCTAGTCTGAGGCCTAAACTCTGGGATACTCTCCCTCATAGTGTGACTAGAGTGTCCTATTCTGTTATAATTTGAGCTGAACGTATTGGTAAACCCGAAAGTTGGCATTTGCATCATCCCAGTTTCACTAGAGTTGAGACTGGTATTATTAAATCCGGATAAACCTTCTTCTTTCCTAGCCATTTCACCAGGATGTAGAGGCTCTGAATTAAGCCGAGAATTGGATTTGTACTTTTGTTTCTTATAGCCTTCGTGTTTAGTTCGGTGTAGACATAATTTGCCTCTTTGTCTAAACCCTTGAGTGCACCCATCAATCCCACAGATATAAGGCAAAGCCTGGGAATGAATATGTTCATGCTCTCTAAGGTTATGTGCCAAGGAGAACTTCTTGCTGCAAATCTTTCACTCATGCTTATTTAGTTTTGAAATGCTTGGCTTTGATATGCCTGGTCAATGAATATTTAGCTTTAAACATATTCTCTCACCCTTTGAAATCACATATGAAGACTTTGTCTGAAGATGACATATTATATTATTATTATTTGATGAATAATATGGGGTTTTGGGGTTTTGGGGTTTTGGGGTTTTGGGGTTTTGGGGTTTTGGGG